TTTTCCACAAAGCAGCCAGCCTACTGCACAACACAGAGCAGGTACTCAAAGGTAGATGGATTGAAGAGAAAAGTGCAATGGGTCTTTCTAGCTTACACAAGTGCAAAAAGAGAGAAAAAGACGTGGCCTGAGGGACCAAAGAAGAAACAGCTGAGCTATAACTGCCCAGGTGGTGCTAATTAAACAGGGGCCCTGACGCCCAGGACGTAAAGCATACAAGTTAAAAAGGGGAGAAGAGACTTTTAGAGAAAGACAGTTTGTTTCTCTAGTATATTCTGGAGGCTTTTCCATATTATGTATTTGACCCAAAAAAAGGGTCAGAAAAAATCAAACATCATGGAACTTCACAATGGCAAATTCTGTGAACAATGACCTGTTTTGGAGGTCCACAATCAGGAAAAGTAAATTCACAGAGCTCCACACAGTAGGTATCTTCTCTCTTTCTCTCACTCCTGCTCTTCCTCTCTGGTTCCTTATCTCACCCACCATCTTCCCAATCCCCAAGTTGGAGTATGCAGAGTCCTCCTAGATTTGTCCCTCATTGTCACTACACCTTTCCACTGGGCCTCCTAAGTCTCTCTCCAGTCCAGAATCTCCTGGCAACACCGCTGCCATAGCTGGAGTTCACATCTTCCTGCCTTGTTCACTGGACTCAAAAGCCTCTGCCCAGAGCCCTCGGTTGCCCAGGCTACCCACACCTGACAGCCTGGTGCTCTTCTACTTCACTTCTGGAACAGTTCCTAGCAGTTTGCAGACAAAGCCCAGTTCCCTCTCCCTGACCATGCCATGGCTTTTTTCTAGTTTCATCTTGTGCTTCTGTAGGACCCACACCATAGCCCAAACAACCAGTAGTGCAGGAGGCAGGATGTGTTCTCTTAGCTCCATGCCTAGTCTGCACATGCTGCTCCCCTGCAGCTTAGAATGCTTGCATGCCCTGTCCCTCCAACCTTGTGTGCCAAAATCCCACTGCATCCAGGGATGCAGCTCAGATGTAACCTCCTCTCTGTAGCACTGGCAGTCCATGCATGCCCACAAATTCCTCAATGCAAAAACAGAGGCACTGGCTTCTCTTCTGGAGTGCCACCTAATTTCCTCACCCTCCTCTCCCTTTCTACCATATGAGTACCTCAAAGGCTCCTTCATCTCAATACTCTCTGTGCCTATCACCATGCCTAGCACCCAGCAAGTATTTAGCGAATGTTTATTAGATTAATTAGTGCAACCATAAAAATATATCTAGATAGTTAAACTTAGACTGGTGCCCAACACAGGGCTTACTACAAAAACAGCACTAAACTTTTCCTCAATGGACACTTAGAAAGAAGTATGTATTCCATCTCACTGGGAGAGTGTGGTTTCCTCCTATTAATGACAGCTATAGTCTAATGTCCTCCATTTCTGATTTGCATTAGCTTTGATATTCTGTTCCAAGAAATGAGAAACATTTTCTCACAGGGGGAGTTTTAACACAAATAAGATTCAGTTCTGAAAGGTAGAAAATACCTTAAAATCCCAAATTGTCATGGCTCCATCAATGCCAGTAGTGCAAAATTTGCGACAATCTTGCTTGTCCACCTCATAAATAGATACTTGACTGAAAAAAAAAGCGAAACAAGAGATCGTAAGGTATATGGTAGAAGTGAGCCCCCAATTTCCTAACAGTGTAAGGGCATTTTAAGGAGATGAATAACCTATTAACTCCTGAATATCAAGTTGTTTATCAATATTAAGATGTAGCAATCTCACTTAGAAAATATAAAAATGCATTTTATTAGCAGGTATCCAGAAAAGAAAAAATGGAGAAGAGGGAAGTGTTAAGAACCTGCATTAATCAATGATGTGAAGAAATAGGACAATGCAGCCGCATAGCACGCAAACTGCTCAGGAGCAGGGTGTGGGTAGGACTACAGCTATGACTGAAATGGAAACTCTGAAACATGACCGAAATCCAACTGGCTCCAAACAAAAACGCCCAAATCACTCTCCAATAGCCAGAGCATATAAGGCAAGAGCTCTCCTTGCATTTGAAATGAATCATTTTAAATGTTAGCAACAGTCAGACATGCCATAAGATTTCAACCAGGCAAAGCAGAGGAATAAATGAAATAACTTGTCTCAGTCTAATTATATGAAAAATTTTGAAATTGAAATCATTTCTGTAGCTCAGATGATATTTTTCTTTCTCCTCTGAAATGTCTAGATGGTAAACTATGGCACACACCACCTGTTTCTGTATAGTCTGTGAGCTAAGAATGTCTTTTACAATTTTAAATGGCTGGAAAAAATAAGACTATCATCTCATGACATATGAAAATTATGTGAAATTCAAATTTCGGTGTCCATAAAGTTTTCCTGAAACACATTCATGCTCATTATTTACATGTTGTCCACAGCAGCTTTTGTACTGTAATGGCAGAGTTGAATAGTTGCTATGAAGACTGAGAATCCCTCAGAGCCTAAAATATTTTTCTGTAGGGTGCCTTCCAGAAAGTTTGCTCACCCTGCTCTACAGCAAAGAGGACTTAATATCTGCAAATAAAAGTAAACATGTCCATCTGCAAGAGTCTGTCATTTTATTTTTAACCTAAAAGTATAGAAGAGGCAATGAGAGATGTTTCTTTCTTAGTACATATTCGGCAGAGTAGCTTAAGAAAAATTCACAAGAAATAATTTTGAAAGTCATTCAAAAAGATATTTGCACACCGATGGATGTACATAGCAGCATTATTCACAGTGGCCAGGACATGGAAACAACCGAGTGTCCTACGATAGATGGTGATTGGCTAAAGAAGCTGTGGTACATATATACAATGGAATATTACTCGGCCATAAGAAGAGATGAAATAGTGCCATTTGCGACAACATGGTTGGATCCTGAAATAATCATACTAAGCGAAATAAGCCAGACAGAAAAAGTTGAAAATTACATGCTATCACTTACATGTGGGATATAAACCTAAAAGCAACAAATGAACAGGACAAACAAAAAGAGACTTGTGGACATGGACAATGGACTAGTGGTTACCAAAGGGCAGGGGGCAGGGGGAAAGGGAGAGGTAGATGGCGGGAGGGGGGAGTGAATTTAAATCATTTCTTCAATTTAATTAATTAATTTAAAAAAAGTCATTCAAGACAGAGAAACTTGAATGTGGAGAAAGTTTTTTTCTAGGTTTTCAAATTATTACTTTTTATAGAACACAGACATTTTCAGCCTATTTTAACTCTAGTGGCCCTTTCCATTGAACATGATGAAAAGCACAACCTGAATTTAATAATTCTCTAAAAGAGAAAGTATAGAGGTTTCCATTATGCTTCCTGTTACAATCACCACAATAAAAGTCTCTCAACACAAATGAGCTAGTCAAAAAGAGAAAATCCTATGGTACCTAACTCTGAACACAGTAATTTAAAATATCAATAATATACTGCATTTCCCTTCGAGATTTAAAAAAAAAATCAAGCTTTTTGGAGAAAACACAATTCTTATATAACTACATATGTCTGATGAAAAATAAGAAAAGAAACTCCTCAGCTTGTCATAATGATACTAAGAAATTCTGTTTCTCTAGTTAAATAATCTTACTTGTATATATTACTTGAAATCCATGGTTTAAATGATAGCTAGAAGTACCTTTACAAGCAGGATATAACTAATCTTCCTGTTATTTGTTCACTACCAGAGAAATATGACATTCAGGAAGGTCTCCTTTCATTCTCAATTAAGTCTATGAGGAAGCAAGTCCTAGGAAGAGGCTGCACTAACAGGGCACACCAGCTCACAAGTCCGCAACAGGATCTGCACTCCTCACGTGGGGAGCCTATACCATCTGCACCTTGGTGGACAGAATGACCAGGTGGGGGCACTGTACTCTCTATTATAAGCCAAAAGGGGAGCCTGTAGTTGGGAAGCTACAAACTTCTTCCTCTTGTCCCTGAAGGGATGTCTGGGCCTGCAGTACACAGAACTTTCACAGAGACCTCGTCAGGAAACAGAGAGGGGAAGAAGGGCATCTTGGTCACCTAAACACTTCTCTACAGATAGCACTGGCTATAGGTGGTGTCTAGGGACTCAGATCCCAGTCCAGGGGGCCCCAGGTGGCTGAGTGGCACATACGTGATGCTATTCTGGTGCAGTGTCTCCAAGGCTGTATTGCGGTCCTCGGTCGTGGCCCTCTTGTCCATATTGCGGAAGCGTTCCATGGCAGACATGTTGCGCTGGATGCTCTGTTTTGGAATGTCTAGCTTGGAGACGAAAGTCAAGCAGCCACGGTCATCGTAGTTAAAGAGCATTGGGCAGCAGTCATGGCCCTGAAACAAGATCTCAGTCAGCTCCTGGAGTGTACGCTGCCCACCTACCAACCCCTCAGCAGAATGTTCACCAACAAAGGCATCTCTCACTCTTAAAGGCTAGCTCTGTTTCTTCTAAAAGGCTGTTCTACTTTGTGCTAGTGCACAAAGTCACAAAGCATGCATTGTTCCTGTTCTGAAGAATCATATACAGTATACTACAAGGAAAGATGAAGAGAAATACTTACAGCAGCTACAACGCTGTTCTCAGAGACAAATGATACACTCAGGAGGGGCAGGAACTCCGTTTTCAGAGTTGAGACCCTGAATACAAGAATACTTGTTAAATGGAGATAAAGCAGACCACTCAGCCTCTTTATAGACATAGAGGATGACAAAGGACCCATTTTCACAGGGGCTTTGGCGATATAAATGACCACTTATGTATATAAGGAGCCCTGTGACCTAGCCTTTCAGGAATCTCAAGCAGGAAATGGCCCTGAGGTAACCTGCAGAAACTGGGGCCTTTAGCTCTCTCTAGCCTGTGCTCTGCTCCCCTCTGAGGCCCCCCAACTCACAACAAACTGGTCTACAGCTTGATTTCCAGTGGGCCCTTGTTCTTTCCCACCTCTTGACTTTGCTCCTATGCCCCTTTACCCACTTGCTGTCTCTGTTCTTCTTGCTTATCCAAAATCCACACTGGTCTTTGAAGCTCAGCTCTAATTTGATCAACTCCATGAAGCTTTCCTGGACATCAGCCTAAAGTAGCTTCTCCTTTCCCTGACCTCCCATAGTGCTTACTGTCACTCAAGATTTAATGCCTTATTCTGCTATTCTCTCCTCACCTGTGTTCATTGTGGGCTCCTAAAGGGCTAGAGCCACAAACAGTTACTAGAGCCTATTCTCTTTCCTCAACCAGGCTCTGGTTTAACAGCTAGGGCTGCTGATGAATAAGACACAGTCTTAGCCAGCCAGGAGCTCACATGCAGTAGGTGTGTGTGCACATACATGCACCCATAGTATATACTAAGTATACAACTTAGCAGTTATCTGCTCCAGCACCTGGCCGAGGGGTAACACAGATGCGGCAGGCAAACACATTGGTTGATGAATTAAGATCATATATTTTCATGTAGAAGATGATATGTTTTGAAAACCATGTCTTAAGATGCCCCTCACCCCTCTAAGACTGTTGGTATTGAAGTCCTAACACCTCATCTTAAGGTCTCACTGTGGCATACCTGGCTTTTACTACGTGAAATATTTATCTTTGAGAAAGGAAAAGATGGAGATCATATCTGACTTGCAGGACCATAAAAGCCAAATGCAAATTAATAAGAAGGTAGACAGGTGCTTATAATAAGCATATGCTAAGAGCTTATTATTCATTATATAAGTTGCATACAAGTCAAATAACTATAACATCAAAACATTATTGAATGACAAAAGGCAAATTACTATACAAAATGTATAGCATAATACCATTTGTGTTAAAAGTGAAAAGCTATATAAGTACCCATGTACAGAAATCTTCTAGAAGACTGTATTATTTATATTTGGGAGTGTTTTTAAAAAATGAAATGAAAAGAAAATTCAATCCGTTAAGACAATATCCTCTCTGAAGTTTCACTTTGTTGTCACCATGTGGCAGAGGGAGTCAGAGGGAGTCAGATGTGATCAGTTCTCAGCACACAGGTTGACAGGGTGGATTACCTTTAGCTGCCAATGGAAAACGATGCACCAGGAAAGAAGAAAGATTTGAAAGAGGAAAAAATTCCAATCATCTCTCTTCCACCAACATATGATGAATAAATATTAATTCTGATGTCTGACAAGATGTCTAATGTTCTCCTGAAGGCTGAGCAACCACCTTACTCACAAATGAGTCATCGCAATTCGAGTTCTTCCAGCATACACCAGAGAAACTGGCTTCGAAGCTTTAAGTATTACTGAATAAAGTCCCAAATTAATGGAGTCATTGTTCACTGATTACACAGAGCGAGAACATACCACCTATTTAATTTAAGACTGGTGGGTGACATTTAAATGTTGTAAGGAATTCATAGCAACAGACTAAACAGGCTATTTGAAGGAAATCTTATCAGTAGGATCCTTTAAAGGAATCATTATCAAGCACTTCTATTAAAAAGTGTTTCTGGAAGTGAGACCTAACTTTTTAAAATTTCCCCAAATGGACAATCTAAAAATGTGTCTCTGACTTTAAAGTCTGCCTTGCAGTTCTATGCTTTCCTCTTGTACTTATACCCAAGGAAGGGCAGCCTTTGCCCAGCTGATAAGAGATCCCACCTGACTCCCTTACTGTAAACAAAAGGCAAATACTCACTGCACACTTTTTGAGGCATCGGCAACAGACACAGTGCTGTCATGGCTGACCCAGGCCAGGCGGCTCCCACTGGCAGAGAAGCTAACCCCGTGCACCCAGCCACCAGTGCCACTGCCACCAAACTCTGACATCAGCTGACCAAAAGGCATCTTGCTGCCCCAGGGTGTACTGGCTGGCTTTTCGTCCACTTCTTTAATGTATGCAGAAAACACTCTGTAGTTTAAGGGGCAGGGAGAAAAGGAAAAAGTAAATTAAAATATATGTATATGGAAATAGGCCACAGGCAGCTGTTGTAAGGTGTCCCAGAATGTAAACAGACTGACTCATAAAGAGCAAAATATGATGGACAAGTTCAGATACACAAGAGTCTTAAGACACAGAACTGTTCTCGGCTACCTACAGGCCAATCCAAATTTGGCAAATCCATAATCAATGGATATTCATAGATCGGTTCTGATGTGTCAGGCACTATTCTAGGAATATGGTTCTAAAAGTAATGAACACAAAAGTCCTTCCCTCCTGGAGTGTACATTCTGGGGGAGAATTGTGCTGTCCCGCCCTCTCTTGCCCGTTGGAGATCTGACTAAATGAGCACAGCATTCTTTCCTGTCTATTTCACCATCATTCTCGACTCAGTATTCTAGGAAGCCCACACAGTCAAATGGTAGGAAAAAGGAAACTATTTGCCACCCTGCAATAAACCATTGGTATGAACCCAATTAAAGAAAAAGGACCTCGAAAGAGAAAGCCCAAGGAAGCCGTGGGAAGAGCGAGCAGGCTTTCCTCAGTGCTATCAGGCAGAGGGCCAGGTTCACTCTACCCTCAGGACCATTGTCCAGTCTTTGTGGCAGGCACAGTCTGGGAGGAAGGTGGGTCCTTTACAGCCTGCTGTCATCGGCCTCCTCCTCTAATTCCTTGATACAGACGCAGGAAGCAAAAAAGATAAAGAACAGCTGGGACTCTATCTTTTTATTCCCTTTTGCCCTCCAATGATATTTCTACTTTGTAAAGCTTCTCTTCAAAATTTCTGAACCTAAAGGTTCCCTAAACAATTTGGAATATTTCCCCCCAAAATGACAATGACACCAGCAGCTCTGGAAAAGGTGAAGGGCACAGCTGTCTGTAAGTTAGATACTATGTGACTTCAGAATCCCTGTGCTTTAAATCAGCATCACAATAGCTATTGCTTTAGTCATCAGAGTCCAGGGAAGAACAGGTAATTCTCAGCTGCCAACTCAAGAGTGGATCAGATCCATACCCGCAGGACCACAAGTCAAAGCAAAGTTATTTCTGGAAATTATTATCAACAAATGAATTGTAACCTATTTTTACAAACCAGATTTTTAGACAAAGATTGATGATATGGTATGGATCAGTAGCATTTACTTCTACCTTCTAAGGGAGCTAGAATGACTCTGGGTAACATCACAAACAAAATTCCTGAATAAGAAAAACTCTAGAGAATGTCTATGTATATTTACTGCTACGCTGGTTCTTAAGTAGGAGAACCAATATTTTTCCAAAAAGTGGCTTGACATTACTGTATCCCTTTCCTACAGCCAAATTTCCACACATATATTTTTTTAAAAAAGGACAAAAAAACAAAATCCCTGGGATATTCTTAGATATAAATCACTAGCTAGGTTTTTCTGGAAATTCTCCACACAGCCTACTAAAGAAAGACGTATTCTATTTCTCAACTGCCAACATGAAGCGACATTTATTTTTCTTTTTGTTGATAAAGAACAACTTTAAAAAACAATTATACTGTATGAGAAAGTTCTTAGCAAAGTGGCTGTGTTTCTTCTAGTCTTGTGCTAAATGACAAAAGGCTTTAACTGAAAAAGAATAGCACAATAACAGCTCAGTAGAGCTACTATTGTTTTGTTGATCTTAGTTTCACTCTGGAATTTGCCGAGTCTGCTGCCTGCATTATGAAATGAGAGAATACTAGTGCGGGGGTGGGGATGGGGTGGGGGGGGTGGCGCGTAGAGAGCACTATACTCCTACTCAAAACCACGGATGCTCTGCCTAAGGAAAACTTCCTGGCCCCACTCTTGCACCTCCCTCCCACCACACTTTCAAGTCCACTTCTTTCTACCTCAGTGATTTGCACATTTACTTTAGCTCCTTTTCTAGATCACAAGCTCCTTTCATCTCTGAGTCCATCACAGAGCCTAGCATAGTACCTTGCAAAGAAAAGGATCCTTAAAATATCTGTTGAAAGATGAACAATGAACAGCTCAAGTCTGTCCACCAATTCTCATTTGTTCTTACCTGCATTTGAAATCACATGATCCAGCTGCCAGCAAAACATTGTTGGGATGCCAATCCAAACTGAGGACGGTGGATCGAATTGGCTTTTTAATGTGTTTGCTTACCCACCTACAAAAGGAGAAAATCCATTTTAGTTTATCCACACTAAAAACAACACTCTCCAAATGACCTACAAATGTGTCAGGTGAAAACACCAATGCATGGTTCTTACGTGGTTACCAGTTCTCCTGCCAGAGAAGGTACATTTTTAAAGGACGAGAGGAAGAACCACAGACAGTTTCTTCCACTTTCCTGTCTTTTAGGCTTTGACACTGTCATCAGGGCAGCCATTTCTGAACTTGCCCGGCTACCAGGGGATCCTCATTAGTAAGTATATTCATGGGTAAACTCTGGTATGCTCCATAGAATTCTAGATTACCTGTGACTTTAACCTCTGAAATACAATCTGAGGTTTGAAATTACTTGCATTTTTATTATAACTATGCAGCGATTTGTTTTTTCATTTTGGGTAAAGTTTGGGTTGTAAGATAGCTTAATATCCTAAGTTTCCAGAAGGTACAAATTCTTTTTAACATTTTTTTCCCAGAGAAATCACAACCAAATTAGCAGAACCTCGTGTTGGAGATTAGTTTCTAATTCTCTAGCTCCACTTAAGAGTTTATTTATGCCCAAGATCAGTCATTATTCTGGCTTAACTAAATCAATTTCTGCCCCTAAACTGCTGCTAAAAACCAATCATGTTCTGCTGTTCAAGATGAAAGACTTAATATTGTGCTCAAATGCCCTTCCTTGAATGCTAAATTATTTTTCCATAGAATCTTTTTCTTAGAAATCTATCTGAAAAATTTCATTTTGAAAAATAGACAATATTCTGACTGAATAATGCAGCTATTTTAAAGGCTTTTAGAGGTTTTAAAGTACTCACATCATATCAATGAAATATTGTTCCATAGCTGAGAAACATCTCCTGAACATACAGCTTGTTCAAATGACAATACTTTGTACTATAGTAAAGCCCAATTCATCTATATTTGAGACTATTTTAATGAATAAAAATGTGAAAAATCACTGACATTGAAGGTTACCTAGGAAGAAAAGTTGTTTCTCATCTATTCGTTAGTGAGCCTTCTAAATGATTTTTAGCAAGCAACATTTTGTTAGCTTTAATTTTATACATACTTGAAAGAAAAATGCATGTTTTAAATCCATAATTCAATCTTGCTCCAAATTCACTTTCTTTTCAAAGAATCAAAATTTCTGAGGTTTTACTAAATTATAAAATGTAATATAATGCCTTCCTTACACTGTTTCAACATAAAGCAAACAGCACACTAACACAAAGAATAATGTGTACTCTGCTGTTTTAGTGCAAACCCACAGCCAGTTTTGTACTAAATGACAATTCCATGTTGAAGGGTATTTACTGCCTTTTCTGAATGCATGCCAGGTAGAAGAGTCATTTTCTTATCAAAGTATGCAGGAAGGAGTAAAGTAAGTTACTTAGCTAAAAAATAAATCTCTGAATTTGACTTGCTACAAGTGATTTATTAAAAAAAGTACAACAGGCTGATTATATTTCCAAGATCCTCATCAATTTTTATTTCCAATGGTTTAAACAAGTAAAACATTATACCAAGGCACAGATTTGGTTAGCAAATAAACTTGAAAGAAGGAACATTGTTATCTGTAAGAATCCTAGATATTTTAAGTGGATAAAGATAGTAAAGAAAAAAAATTATTCCTTAGGACCTTGGAAATCTTTTTCTTTTTTAAATGCCTACAGCACCTGGTCTTCCTAGGTGGTCTCCCATCCAAGCACTAACCAGGCCCGACTCTGCTTAGCTTCCAAGGTCAGATGAGATCGGGCACGTTCAGGGTGGCACAGCTGTAGACCCTGGAAATCTTTCAAGTTTATCATCAGGGTGAGAAAAAAGCAATTTGGAAAGTACAGAGTCAGAAGAGTAGTAACATCTCACAGAACAAACAAGTTAGAATAGAACATGGAAACCACTGCTCTATATTAACATGAGAAAGATGCAAGAGTTGACCCAATGTGCACAGAAGAAGGAAAAATGCTCAATCACAGAGAATGGAAAATTTCAGAGGAAAGAAAATTTCCAGATGAAGAAAAACTGAAGTTATAGGTAAGTCGTCACCCAGTGCCTCAAAAAGTCACCAAGAACACATGGTCCAAATGTATGATTCTTTACAGAGAAATAAAAAAATACTCAGATGTTGCTCACCAGTCATTTTCGGACTCGAAGTAACAAACAGAAATGAGTCGTGCTCCACTTCCCACAGCAAATTTATTCTCTAGCGGGGACCACTTGACAAAAGTGGCTGCACGATTAATTCTCAGGATCACCAGGGTTGGTTTCCAGACACCATCTTTCTGACTCCAGACATAGGCATTACGGTCTGCCCCACAAGTGACGATGCGGTCGCTCCTGGGAGCCCAGTCAATACCTGCAAGTGAGACATGGAAACAACTGCTTCGCCTGGGCCAAAGACAACTGACATGGCACAGGCAGGTTGGCACTGGCATGGTGGGAACAGATGTGGTCCTGATCATCATCTCCTACACAAAGGCCAGATGTTTCTCTGCAAAGTTCTGTAACTCAGGATCCTCCATGAGGCCAGGTAGAACAGAGCTGTTTTAAAATTGCGAAGGTTATGAAACTAAGCAGGGACATTCTCTTCACTCATTCACAAGTTTCTAAAGCTATCTGGTTTAACGAGCCTTTATACGCACACACACACACACACATAGTTGTTGTTGTTGTTTGAAAGTACCTTTATTATTCATTCATTCATTAACACACTCCGTTCAATGATATTAACTGAAAGTCTGTTACATGACATCCAAATAAAATGACATTCAGGGTAAATAAAAATAATCTTCAGGATACAGATGGGAAAATATAAATTGTGATTCATTACACATTATTCTGAGGGTCACTGTCATTTAAATTAACCTAAATACCTTTTCTGTATGATGTAGGTTCTATGAAAGTATCCTGGAGTATCTCTGTGTCTAAACTAGAAAGAGACCTATATATGTATCTAAATGTAAGGTTTAGTTTTCTTATTTGACCAGACTTTTACTTATTTGGTGCCTCTGTAAAGGATCCTAAAGTTAAGGTCAGTTTTAATATACCAAGAGTAAAAGCTGCTATGACTCAGTTATTTTATTTTTATATCTATTAATGAGGTATTTTCTATAAAAATAATTTCACAACAAAGGCACAGAAATATTACTAATAAAATTTTATCATAGATATCTTCCTAAAAATTAATAATTAACATTCTTAGCATTCATATGGAAAAAAGTAAGATGAATACAAACTAAAGCCTCCATTAGTGATAAATCATAGTGACTTAGCAGTATAAAGAGTTTATTCATTCATTCACCTACAGAAAATGTCGGCTCAATTTATTTTTGTACCGTCGAATGGAAAATGATATGAGAGAGTGTGTTCTAAGTGATGTATATTTTGATTTTAAATCCATTTGTTACCGGATAGTTTTAAAGCCCTCTTTATTAGATTTAAAATTTTATTTTTAACTACAAAAGCAATACCCACACATTGTTATAAGACAAACATCACAATGGGACACGTAGAAAGTCAATAAAGCCCTGCCTCTGTTCTTTAAGTCTACACACATTCCTCCCCCAAAATATTAATATTATGGCAAACATTTTATCATGCTTTTTATACATGAGTAGTAATTATACATTATTTCAGAATACTGATCTTATAATAATTTCCCCAAACATGCCATTGCTGAATGTTTTGTTGGTTTCTAATCACAGATAACATTTCAGGCACGCACCTTTTTGCTCTGGTTAAAATTACCTCTATGAGAAATTCTCAGAAGTATGATGCAAAATACTGTTATATTTATGAATGTCTTGTTTTCTAACTTGGCTACAAGCTTCTTAACAATAGGAAGCAAGCCTCTGAAACTACTGTGGTGGGTGGTCCCTGTGATCCTACCTGCTGGTGTTCATGCCTCTGTCATCTCCTCCCCGTGAGTATAGGCAGGACCTGTAACTCAATTTTAACCAATGGAATACGAGAAAGGTGATGAGATGTACATGACTACTATACAAGATTCCGTAAGAAAGTGGCACTAGCACTTGCTAAAGATGCTCACCCTCTTTCTCCATTGTTGGCTTTGAAGAAGCAAGCTGCCATGAATCTTACAGTTGCAAGGAAATGAATTCCTCTACCAAAAACCTGAGCTTGGAAGTGAATCCTTCCCTGGTTGAGTCTCTGATGAAAACTCACCCTTAAATAACACTTGTTTATAGCTTGTGAGACCCTAAGCAGAGTCCCAGATAAGCCATGCCCAATCTCTTGACCCTCAAAAACTGTGAAATAATAAACGTGTTTGGTTTAAGCTGCTAAGTTTACGGTATTTGCTACACACCAATAGAAAACAAATATATCCTCTAATATCCAGAATATTGCCTTGTAATGAGAAAGCTCAGTGATTCTGTAATGATTTTGACAATCTGAAATTTCACCCCTTATTCCACACGACCACCATTCTAATTAAACACGCACGTTTTATATGAATTCTTGAGGTGCTTAAACATGAGGTGCTTTAAAAAAAGTCAATAGATCCTCACTCTTTAAAATACAAGGAACTATCTTCAGCTTAGTTTTATAGTTCTAAGTCTACTTCTGCAGCTACATCATTCATTTGAATATGGAAGCTGTTAAACCATAGTCATAGCCCCAAACTATTTTAGATGACATTAGCTTTTTTTCTTAAACGCGTACTTGTTAAAAAGATAAATGGGAAAAACAAATATTCAGTAAAAGGCAAATTTTCATCTCTTACTAATTAAGCTTTGTATTTTGTTGTTGTTGTTGTTTTTTCTGCCATCAGAAGACCTGAAAGGAAAGGAAGGGAATCAAGCATCTAACCCATCTTTCCTGTACTAACTGTATCTCAGGGTGACCAAACAGTAGATGAAGGTGTCTTTTATAAGTATATTCTAGTTAATAGAGAAGAAATGATAGATTTAGAATATCACCATGTTGCAGCCACTACTAAATTAATGGATATGGGGACTGATCATCAGCAATTGCTAATATCACAGAAAGAAAGATGACTAGACATTATGTGCCTCCTTGATGAAAGTACCTACTACTACCTAACTTCAACTAGCAATTTACAGGTAATATAGAGGACAGAGGAATATGTAAAACACCATGGGCTTACAATTGGTAAAATCCAGGCTCTGGAAAGTACTATAGGACAAACGACCTGATTTCTCAATTTTCTTAACAAATAAATTGCAAAGACAAAGAAAGAGAAAAAAGGGAACCTATAAACAAAAGATTTAAGAGATACATCAACTAATCACAACCATGTGTACCTTATTAGAATCCCAATTAAAACAGACTATTGTATTGGTTATTACTGAAGAGTCCTTACCTTTTAGAGATAAATGCTGAAATATGAAATAATACAATGTCTGGGATGTGCTTCAAAATAGTACAGGGAGTTGAGAACAAGATAGGCTGTGAGTTGATAATTGTTGAATCTGGATGATGGGGACGGACACAGGGGCTCATTACAATATTGTCTATTTTTGTTATCTGTTTAAAATTGTCCATAGTGAAATGTTTTTTAAAAAAGAGACAGTGATTAAACATAATACAAACTAATAAACTCACAGAAAAAAAATGCGGGGAATCTGATAACCCTTTCATGTTTACCATACTTTTCTCCCATAGTACTGACTAACTAGTCTTTTCTTTTAGAAAGCTTCAGAAGATAATTTTTTTTCTGTAGTTACTATCTTTCTGAGAAAATATGTTTGATCCTTGGTCTCCTGTCAGAGTTATATTTAGATTTTCCTAACAATAATTTTCCAGATATAAAAAAAATGGCATTTGAGCATTTGGACAGAAAACAGACCCAGGTTCAAAGAACTCCAAGAAGAAGCAGGGGAGAAAAAGGACACAACTAAATATTTCACTTTTTTGACTATTTCTTTGGTCTTTCACCTTAATCCTTTCTTATTTAAAAGTATTTCCTAATGCTAAATTTCCAATTTAAAATGAATGTTCTTATTTTTTAGGCCATAAGGTCATTTGCAAAGGGACTTAAAGAAAATAGGCTAAACCTAATAGAAATAAGGTCGTGGGAAAGCAATAGCAACAAAAATAGAAATTATGTCTTTGGTGCTGGTCTGGTAATACATAGTTGGCTTCGGGTGCTCACTAACATCACATACAAATCCTGGTAAAAGCAAGAAAGGATAGTCACAAGTTTTTGCTGGTGAATACAATGTAAATGGTGCAGAAGGTCAAAACATGTTGTTTTTCTCTGATTTGGAGGAAGGATATTTTTAAGCTAATCAGTATGTTAGAGGATTTGAAGCAAAATTCCATAGTCTCGATTAAAAAAAAAAAAATCACTATCAGTCCCCTCTGCTGCTCACTTAAGTGCAAATGTCATTGTGAGGTAAGGGGAAATCCAAGACCACAGTGAAAAATCTGTAATTGAAGTTATGGAAAATAATTTTTTATAAGCTTGGCCAAATTATTTAAAGCAAGAGGTTGAATCAACTCTGACAGAAAAAAGGAAAAAAGAAACTATAATAGTAAAAATCAAAGAACAAGAGTTCTTTCTAAACAGAACAATGAATGAATATGTTTGTTTGTTTGTTTGTTTTTAAATAGCCAGACATAACAACAGAACAATACATTCTCTTGAAATCTGGTATCAGGATACGGTTCGCCAAATTCAGAAAACAACTGTAAAAATTCTTCATTTTTCCCTTTTCTCCTCCATAATTTGACACTTGCTAAATAAAACTCAGCACTGCTTTGCTCACCACCTCTATCTCTCTATTCACTGATAGTTTTTGCCAAAGACAAAAGTGAATGTACACTCAAGAATCTGCCTCAGAGCCAATGCTTTAAGATTCGGTCTTCTACGAATCAACAAGGAAAAGATAAAAACTCAATGGAAAAATGGACAGAAATTACAAATACTAAAGTCACACAAAAAAATCCCCAGATAGCTAATAAACATCTGAAAATATGTTCAACCTTTCTGTTCACCAGGAAAATGCAACTTACAGACACATCGCCTTTCACTCATCAGACAGTGTGACCATATCAATTTGTGTGGGATGTGGAAAATAAAAGGCTGGTAGAACAAAGGTAATCTGATGATACCTAGCTGAGGTGAAGATGTGCATACCCCTGAGGTACAAAGCTACCATGTACACACATTCACACATGTACAAAGAGATCTGCACAGTAATGCTTGACTTAGCACTTCAATGTAATATGGAAAAACTGGAAACAACATAAATGTCTTTCAGTGAAGACAAGGATAAATGAGGCATGAAACGCCAAAGAGCAATTAAAAGGAATAAACTTAATCTAGATACACCAATGTAGACAGAGCTTAGGAACAATGTGGAATGCAAAAGCAAGCTGCAAGAGATGTATGATATGATGCCATTTATACAGCATTTAAAAATACCAGCCAATAATACTAAAGATTGCTTATTTGGGAATGTCTTCTTTGCCTCAAAAACAATACAGGAAGCTTTTGGAAGACACTGAGTTCCCTCAGCACTTGAGAACACAGTTTGGCTTACATTTTCACACAGCTGACATGCTGTCTAGTTTTCGCTTTCACATCTCATCTCTCAATCTAAGTTCTTTAGTTCTCATAATAAGTAGGTTAGGGTTTCCATAACACTAGAAGAGTGCTGTGTACCAGCTGGGCTAAAAGAAGAACTTAAAAACTGAGATCACTATTATGCTATTTTCCCAAACTTTCTAAAGAAATCTCAGTAAATGCTACACAATTTTAAATATAGAGCAGACTTACTTTATTAGGCTCTTTATTTAAACAAAAGAATGTTAAATTTGGAAATATTGTACTAATAAGCTCATGGTTATCTTCCCTTACCTGTGATGTGTCCATTGTGCTCCTTGAGTTCATGAGCTTTCACCCACTGGCTCCCGTTCTTCTTATAGATGTGGACTTCGTGATTATTGGGGCTAAGGGCAATCTCTGGAGAAAAAAGTCAATAGTTAACACTTGAACCTGAAACTGTCACACAAAAAGAGTTATGTTACAGTTGGCATTTTAAAATAGATTGAAGGAACAGAAAAGCTGTTTCAAAAAATTGTTCACTCCTGAAGAGTTCTTTTTATTATTTTTATCTCTACTCAGAACCCATTTTAAAAATGTTCTGTAGAAAAACTAAATTTAAAAATCCAGTTTATCAGAGACATAGACAACTGTCAATTAAAGATTCTAGCCAGTAAAACATTAAAAATGTTACTGTACTTAGCGGATATACAGTTGACTCTGGAACAACACAGGTTTGAACTGAGCAGATACACTTATACCAGGATTTTTCCCAATAAACAGACCTCTGTATTCACGGGTTTCATATCCACATATTCAACCGACTGTGGACTGAAAACAGTATTTCCAATTCACAGTTGGGAATCTGCAGATGCTGGGGGCCAACTGCATACATTGTTCTATGCCACTTTATAAAAGGTACTTAAGCATCTTCAAATTTTGGTATCAAAGCGGGGTTCTGGAACCACTCCTCCTCACAAACCAAGGGCTGACTTAACTATAGTTTTTGAGGAGTCAAAAGTTATACATGAATTTTCGACTGCACAGAGGATCAAGGGCCCCCTAACCTTTGAGTTGGTTCAAGGGTCAACTGTAATTTTAGCCTGTAGTAAAGATACTTGACATTTTAGCTCATCTATACAACATTACCGATAAATATTTAATTTCTGTTAGACTTGCTGAAAATATCTCATAGGCTCTCTTTACTGTTATCCTGGACCCAAGACGGGTTTATCAAAAAACCTTGATTCTGCTGATAAAGTATATCAAAGTTTTCCTTTATAAAAAAGCCAATATAAATTACAAAATATAATTCAACAGAAATCTCTTGGACCAATCTAAAATATTAAGAATATCCATATCTACATGATGAATTTTTTGAAACTTAATTGATTTTTCTTTCCTTTCTAGTTCATCCTTTTTTTAAAAAACATTGATTTCTTAAAATTAAAATTAGGACTTATGATCTAAACTTTAAGTCAATCATTTATTAGTTTTCCCATCTATTATATCACCTTTCCTCTCTTCTTTAGAAAAGCTACATCTTTTTCACAGATAAACCGTGGAATTAGATAAATATCTAGCTCTAAAATCCTAAGACTTTCAGTGCTTTCTGGAAAAATTATACATTTCTCTAAATTTCTAAGATGCATATAGGGATTTTGAAAGCCAAATCTGCAGTTAAACCTGGAAAATGATATAAATAAAGACATTTATAACTTGCGTTTCTATTAAAAATAACTGGAAATACTCCAAAAACCTATTTTTAGATGGGAAAGAGGAGACAGAAGATACAGGAACTCAGCTATGAAGCTCTAGATTCAGCATCCTGCATGTTATATATTTTCAAATACCCAATATAGAGGCTCTATCTAGGTTTTCACTTCACTCAAAAATCTGGAGTGTACTGTTTAAGTATCAAGGATTTAAAAATAACAGTGAACCAGTGTCTGAATTGCTTTTTAAAAAAATAGTGACTCTATAGAGTCAAAGAAATCACTATCGAAATCTCAGCTGGCTTCTTTGCAGAAATTAGTTAAGCTGATCCTAAAATTCACATAGAAATGCAAGGGACCCAGAAAAGCCAAAACAATTTTGAGAAAGAAGTACAAAGTTGGAATTTACACTTCCCAATTTCAAAACTTATTACGAAGCTACAGTAAGCAAGACAGTGGCCCTAGCAATAGGATAAACATAAAGATCAATGGAATAGAATTCAAAGTCCAATAAACCTTCACATTTTCATTCAAATGACTATCGACATAGGTGCCAAGATAATTCAATTCGGGAGAGAATACTGTAGTCTTCAACACCATATACAAAAATTAACTCAAAATGTTTCTAAGACCTAAAATAAGAGCTAAAACTATAAAACTCTTAGAAGGAAACACAGTTATACATCTTTGTGACTTCAAACTAGACAATGGTTTCTTAGATATAATAGCAGATGGATAATATCAAAAGAAAAAAATGAAGTGGAAATTTTCAAAATTAAAGACTTTTGTGCTTCAAAGGACACCATCAGGAAAAGTGAAAAGACATCCTACAGAATGGGAGATTTTGTAAATCATATATCTGATCAAGGACTTGTATCCAAAATATATAAAGAATTCTCACAACTCAACAATAAAAAGACAAATAACCCATTTTTAAAAATGGGCAAAGAATCTGAATAGACATTTGTCCAAAGAAGATAAACAAATAGCCTATAAGTATGTGAAAACATGCTCGACATCATTAGTCATCAAGAAAACGCGAATCAAATTTGTAATGCTAATAGTGGGTATAGAGCTATAATAAAAAACACAGATAATAACAAGTGTTGAAGAGAAGGTGGAGAAATTGGAACCCTCACATACTGCTAGTGGCCCCTTTGGAAAATAGTCTGGCAGTTCCTCAAAATGTTCAACATAGTTACCATATGACCTAGCAATTCAACTCTTAGATATACACTCAAGAAAAGCAAAAACGTATGTCCACCTGAAAACTTGTCTGTGAATGTTCATAGCAGTAATATTCACAATAGCCAAAAACTGGAAGCAATTTGAACGTCCACCAACTGATGAATAAACAAAATGAGGTACATCTATGCAATATTATTTAGCCATAAAAAGGAATGGAGCACTGATACATGCTAAACGACATTTAGCACAAGACTAGATGATCCTTGAAAACATTATGCTCAGTGAAAGAAGTGAGATGCAAAAAGCCACATATTGCATGATTCCATTTGTACAAAATGTCCAGAATAGGCAAATCCATGGATACAAAGAGTAGATTAGAAGCTTCTCAGAACTGGAAGTTTTGAGGAAAACTGGAAGTGACTACAAATGGGTTTAGCATTTCTTTTTGGAGTGATGAAAATATTCTAAAACTAGATAGTAATAATAATAATAGTAATAATTGTTGCATAACTCTGTGAATATACTAACCATTGAATTGTATACTTTAAAAGAATGAATTTTGTTATTGAACTATATCTTAATATAGCTGTTATTTAAAAAAAGATAGTGAATATAATTCAACTTTTTAAAATAACTCATGGGCATAATACTACACTTCTGTTTCTAGACTTTTTTTTGCTTCTTCCTTGTCATATTCTGTCACTTTGCTTGTTGTAATATGCCTACTTCTATGAGTCTCTTCCATTCCTCCCTGGTTTGCTGGAACCAGAAAACAAAAATTCAACCTTGTTATGAGAAACATAGTGAATACTCATTAGTACTGTTCTCAATACTTCAGGAATAAACCATATGTTTCTGAAATAGCTTATTTCTAGGTCCTAGAATTCTGACTAAATGCTTGGATGAGTGTAGTATTACTGTACAACCATTCCAAACACTGGGTTCTTAGGGCAATGAAAGATGTCTCTGACATAAACTGTCCTTCAAGTGATATTATTAAAAAAAGAAATGGACAAGGAACCAGAAGGCTTGGGTGCTAGCAATGGCTCTGACATTAACTTGGTGTGTGACCACTGGAAAGTCCTTCCAACAGTACAGGCCTCAGTTTCTATATCTGTAAACCAAAGGACTGACCTAGATCCCTTCTAAACCTGTATCAGTCCTTTTCACATGTGACAATGAAATATGATTCTTAAAAGTATCTAAATCTAAAAGTATCAAAATACCAAAATAAAGGCACAAAATAGCATACTTACGGGTACGATCCCTGTTCCAGGCATGACAGGTAATTGGCTCTAGCAAAAACTGATGCAGAGACATTGTTCTTAGTGTTTTCAAAAGATAGAACACTGCAATGAGCAAATAGAAAAAAAAGCATTTAAAATGGCAGGCTACCAATATTTTAGTTGTCTGGGGGTTCTTGAACACTATTCTACTATTAAAGAAGAATCAATCTCGATGTCAAAACTTACTCATTTAAATACGACTAGTACTGTAACCATCAATGCATAATTTATTCCGTTAGGGTCATCAAGAGATTCTAAAACCATGAGTTAAAGATTGTTGGGGTATTCACAGTCTTAAGTGATCATCCCATGGATTACTTACTAATTACAAAAGGAAAACCATGCCTTTATAATTAAAAAACACCTGGCAGTCACCACTTAAACTGAGTGATCAAACTTGGTATCATAAGTAGTGGAACAATATAATCTGATAGGCCTCCTGATGGGAGGCAAAGTGAAGTGCACATTATCATTTATAGTGATCACTTAATTCATCATCCAGACCAGAATACTTTTAAGAAAGCAAAAAGGGGTACTATTAATAATTATGCTGTGACAACAGGTTAAAGCAGGGGTCCCCAAGTGCTGAACCAAAGACCGGTACTGGTCCATGGCCTGTTAGGAACTGGGCCGCACAGTAGGAGGTGAGCAGCAGGCAAGCATGTGACACTTCATCTGTATTTGTAGCCTCTTCCCAGCGCTAGCATTACCAACTCAGCTCCACCTCAGATCAGGTATTAGATTCTCATAGGAGCACCCATCTCTAGTGCCAAAGAGGTTGGAGAATGCTGCTAAAACAATTGGCCTGGCTTATTTAAAAAAGGCAATGAGTGGGGGGCTGTTTTTAGATTAAAAGAGCTATGAAACCAAATTTTATATAAAAACTTGACTGTAATCTATATTTTTAAAATAGCCATAAAAGACATATTTTGTACAATAGGGAAAATTTGAACTTGGGCTACATATTATATAATAATACAAAATTATTTTCAATTTCTTAACTATGATAATGGTTTGCTCTTAGGAGAATGTCCTAACTCTTAGGGGATAAAGATGATGAACTGCTTAGGGGTAAAGTGTCATAGTGTCTTCTATAACTTATTTTCAATCCTTCAGCACAACAAGTAGATAAATAAAGAGAAATGTGGCAAAATGTTAACAACTGGTGAATCTAGGTAAAAGGTATGCAAGTGTCATATTACTCTTTAAACTTTTTATTGTAACTAAATGAAAAGCAATCTATGAAATATCATTAAATTAAAAATCAAATAAAATTCTCTATTTTAGACACTCAAATCTAGATCTACTGAAGAAGCAATCATTACTTGAAATAGAAATTTTTTCAAAAAAAGTACTCCATTTAATCATTTCTAAGAGGCACTCTCACAACACTCTGAAGTTTCAAAACACTCATGTTAACCTAGGGTGGAGACTGAAATGTGATACAGAAATTCTGATGCAAGCAGGAAATGAATGGAAGGTCCACCAGAAGGTTGTGAAGTGAACAATTAAAGTTTAGCAGACAAAGCAGAAATCAATTTCAGTGGAAAGCAGATGAAATGTCTCTGCTAATTGTTGTAAAGGAACCCAAAGGTCAAAAAGAGATACATACACACTCAAATAAAAACAACTAATATCTTGAACTGAAAGAGAAACGTCTGTTTCACACATTATTCTAAGGTTGAAAATATTTAGGTCATTAATATTTTACTTTTGCTTGTTCTGGAAAGCAAATTGCAATTCACAAAGAAAAAATCTTTTGTTGGAAATTAAAAATATTTTAAATGAATTCAAAGAGACTGCTTAATTTGTTTTTTAAAAAATAAACTTTCAGATGCTCATTTCATGATTCTCCTTATCTCTGATATCAGATGCTTACCCATCAAAACAGGTTTTACCCAGTTACTCAAAATATCTCTTAATTAAAATAAATTTAGTTCAAAAGCCACATTTTATAAGCTCATTTGTTAACTGAAACAAAATTGGTCTGCAAATTAATAATTTAATGCAAAATCACATATTTCATCTGTAGTTACAAAGGAACAGCTGCAGACAAAGGCTTTCTTATTCTTCAATTCAGTTTTATAAGCAATGTATGTAGCAAAGCCTTCAAAAGAGGTATAATTACTTCTAAAATTGCATTTCTAATTTTGTTATATAATTCAAACTCCATATTTGGACACTCAGACCTGTAATTCTTTTATAATCATGTGGCTATTTTTAGTCTGTAGGCCAAAACAAGACTCATATTTGTCAAATTTATAAGGCATCCAGTAAACACGGCCTGTGAATGCAGAAGTGAATTCACAGGCCGTGTTTAGTGACTTAGTGAACTGACTTAGTGAATGCAGAAGAATAATAGCTTAAATTTAGTACCAAGAAAAAGATACCTTCTGTTATAGGGTGATAATTATAATTTCTAAACTGTGATTAATATTTAAGTGAAATCTGAAAACCTTTGTCTTAATGAAGGTAGTGAGAAAAGGGACAAAAAGGTGGTGACATTAAATTTAACAACTTTCTACTGATGACCTTTTATTGTCCAGCCCTGAGACAGAGATTTATAGCATAGCATGATCCCAGGAACTCTCCCCACCTCAAACTTCCTTCTTTACCTATCACTTTGAGTACAGAGTCATTCTGATGTTTGGTTAGCTATGGGATCTGAAGCCAAGGCAACCTGGGTTTGAATCTTGGCTTTGACACACACTAGCTATGAGACCCTGGGCAGAGTACTCAGTATCTCTAAATCTCATTTTTTTTCTTCTGTAAAATGGACATATTACTGACATCTCAAGGCTGTTGGTAGGAGGATTAAATGAGATAACATGTAAAAGTATGTAGTACAAAGCCTAGCTCAAAACAGATGCTCACAAAGTTCCCTTTCTCCCTCTGACCCAAGGCTTTTGAGGTATCCCAAGAAGTACACACCAGTTAGTATCCTCTCAACTTGGAAATGTCTACATATGCTTTAAATTCTTGGCCCTGGAGCCTGAATGTATTTGTACAGTAGGAATTTCAGTTTCCTGTTTAGGGTCAGTTTTCAAGACTGTGATTCACCTAGCTTCTAATTGCTCTCATTACCCAACCCAGCAATACCAGGTACTCCAACAAGGTCACCACACCCTCCACAACGTTTGGAGATAGGTTCCAATTCCAGGCACCAGCCTCATAGGCATACCATTTTAAACTTCTTTATGCAGAATTTGTTTCAGCACAGGTTAGTCAACTAAATCGAAATACTGTCACTCTCCCTCCAAACAGTAGTTTTAATTTTTTCAAGATGATCCCTTCCTAAAATTGTGATAACTAGATGAATTAACCTCAGAAATTCTCTGAATACTTTGTGATAGGAAGCAGCCAGTCACACCCACTCCTTAACAAGGCCAAAATATCCTCCTGTTAGCCTTTCCTTTGTTTTTATACACCTTAAAAACACAAGGCCAACATGAAACCAAAAGGTTAACCAAAATGAATAAAACAGGAATTAGGATAATTTAGGTAATTTAGGCAATGAGTTGCGGTAGATAAAAGGAGGTTCCAAAGCTGCAGTATGAGAACAGATGGCTTTATAATCAGACTCTAAGCTACAATATCTAGTAAGTGCCCACCATGTTCCCAGAAGTGTAGTAAGTACCAGACTGGGGGCAGAAACATAAATCAATCTGACACTTTTCTGGTCCTCAAGTAAGAAGTGAAAGCAGTTAGGAGAGGAAGGGAAGACAGATATGCATAGAACGCCCAGAAGCAGTAAGTACTAGCTGATATATATTGGGTACCTTACTCTAGGCCACTAGGAACTATTCTAAGCAATTTATTCAAATAAACTCCCTTGATTCTCCAGAAAGTCCTAAGAATCTTCTTACTGCAGGAAAAGGGGACTCAGAGAAGCAGTCTTTCCAGAGTTATCCAACAAAGTGTCCGGTGCTGGGATTGGAATTTTGGCAGTTCCACTGGAGGGATGGAAAGTGAAAGGTGCTACATCAAAGGTTCCACGGAGCCAGTATATGCAGTTTTGACTTAAGAGACGGGAGCACTCGAGAAGCGGAATCTTAAGGATCTCAGGGGAAGATTTTTTTCGCGTTCAGAAGGGTCCCCCAATACTGCAGGGTTGAGGGTTGCCCAGGACAGAAGCCAATCTCCCACGAGTGCCCACCGTGTGCAGGGACCTATTCTACTGGGTAAAGAAAGAAACGAACGGTTCCTCTGACGCCCGATTAGGGGGATTATCCCACTTACTACAGTTTTACAGACTGTGATAAATGGCCACAATAGAGATGAAATAGGGCTATAGAAGAGAAGGACCCGTTAATTTGGAGGAGCCTTGGAGTTCGAAAATTATGAGAGAAATGATCTGTATGGGGACCCAGGAGCTCGGCGGGTCCTTAGGAGAACTGGAATACCCCGCCTCCCCCGGAAGCCGGGCAGGGAGACCTGGCCCGCCCTCAGCCTCCGGGGCCTAAGCCCCCGCCTCATCGCCCCCGCGGGTTCTAGTCCGGTGCAAGGCCGGGCCAGTGGAGGCCCACAGGGCCAGAAACTCGTTCCTGCTGCCCCTTACCTGGAGTCGGGCAGTCCAGACCCGCGCGGAGCGGAGAATTCGCGGACTCTGGTCAGTCGACGCGAACAGGCTCCGGCGGCCGCGGGCGGAGGACCGAGGCCCAGAGGGAGCTGCTGACAGATCCCGGAAACGGCCACGGCGCCTGCGCAGCTCGGCCGCACGAGCGTTCAGCGCACGCGCACAGCTTGGGCACGCTGCGGCTGCACTAGGGGTGCGGCGGTGGAGAGTCCTCTGTCTGAACGGGTGTGGCGGCCCCTCTGAAGCGGCTTTTCACAGCAGCTGTAGTGGTCTCGAAGCAGCGTGGATGTCTTACTCATTTCCTTGAAAATTTCCTCAGACTTGCGGACCGAAGTATGGCGCCTTGGCGGTTCACAAGTGATTTTGTCTGGAAGTCGATTACTGAGAATTCGGGCCTTTCCAGCCACAGGGATCCGAGGAACCACTTTTTCTCCGTTAGGAGAGCCCCTGTTAGAGCCAGTCTCCCAATCGCTGCTCCTTGTTCCCAAGATGGCGCTACAGAACAGAGGAGTTGGAATTCAGCAGCTACATTTTGCCTCTCAACACACATGAAGACAGTGCTTGCTATGCAGATGGGTCTCCTACCTGTAAACGAAAAGGGGCGACTTTGTATGGAGACAAGCTCAGGGGAGCTACTTGGCAGGCCTGGTAAGCTCAGTGATGGAAAGTAACCACACTGATGGTCTGATCATAAATTCCTAATTGGGCAGGTCATGGTGGGTAGTTTGTTCCAGGCCTATAGTTTTCTTAGCGAAGGTCAAGCTTTACCTTAACTGAGACTTGTCCATTGTTCTTATGCATTTAGGTTAACATACTTTGGGGAAAGTTAGGGTAATTTTCTTTTTCAGACATCCCCCTCCCCCACGCACAACCTCCAGCACAGAGCACTAGACTACGAAGCTCATTGTTACCTTATTGCCAACATACCATCTCCACTGTAAATGGTAAATGTTAACTATCCTGTACCCACCAATGTAAAAGAAGTGTGTTTCTGTTTTGCTTGTCATCTAATCTTAGACATTTTCCTGCTTTGCTTACTCCTGCCTCCTTAATCTACCACCCATGTATTTCATGTAATCTTCCTTACATTTTCTCCTTTAATTAAAAATGTATAAAATAAGTTGCAAAGCTGCCTTGCTTCAGAACCTTTTCTCAACCTGTTGAGATCTTGCTTCTGGGCATGTCCTCAAAATTTTGGCTCAAATTCATATAAAAATTTTCCATAGATTCGGGTGTTTTTTCATTGACATACAAAGTGTCCTGAACCCCACTTCAGCTAGACTTGCTGCTCTTGAACCCATAGAAATTCAGGAGTAGCACTCCTGTTCTCAGGGTCACTGCAAGTCGGCAACCTGTTGCCTATTTCATTTCCTCAGGTGGTTTACGAGTGTGACCCTAATTCTTGACTGTGAGGTGGTGTTCACAAAATTTAATTCGTCAGTCTCCTGATTTCAGAGCCACACTGTGTTCTCTGAGATTAATTAATCCAGTTGACTATGGAGCACTAATGCACTGGAGGTAATTGATTTTTCTTTGTCCCATGGTTACAAAGTCTTTGGTTCTAGGGAGATCAGTGACAGATTGAGAGACAGGAATGATCATTTTAAATTAATTACTCACTCCCTGGGACAACATCTTGGCAAAGAAAGGATAGCATGCATGGAAGCAAAGATTTCTGCATCTGCGAGTTACATGAACCAATCTGGAAGTATGTAGAGTTGGTACCCAGAGTCAAAATACCAACAGTGTTTTTTTTAGATCCCATCTCTTTACAAAGGACAGTTCCTTCTTTGAAGGAATTTATAACCCTAGTAGATGAGAATAACATACAAATCAATGATACCAGATTCCTTATAATAAATGACAAGAAAAGAAATAACTTTAGAAAAGAAACAGACATTCAATATTATTCTCTGGTTCTATCTTTTGAGTTAGTATTTTGTATCGTAGCCTAAACAGAACTTACCATTTTATGCATTTTATTTCATATTTTATGAGTCATTCCAGATGGTAGAACCTTAGTTCTAAAGGAGCTCTTTAAGTGAAACCACCTTATTTTGTATTTTGAGGAAACAGGACCAGAGGATTTTGAGAATTGATGAAAGTTTTGATACAAGTCAGTGCAAGGGCTGGCCTCTTGATGTCTAGCCCAGAGCATTTCCCATTATGACATCATGCTCTTGTATAAGAGCCATTAGAGTTCCAAAGAGGGTGAGTTATTTTCAGTGTTTGTTTTTAGACCTGTGTAATGACACTGATCTGGTATCCAAAATGGGGACTCTTGTCTTTTAAAAAATCAGTTCCAGGGAAGGTGGTACTTAGAAATGAAAAATGGGAGGAAGAAATGGGTTGGACACTGCTGTAGGATGATTTTGTTGGTTTTATTGATTTGCTTGGAATTGGAATAGGATAGAATTGGAATTTGGTCAATTTCAAGTCATTGGATACTTAGTACTCACCAAGTGCCAAGTATTGTGTTAAGCATTTTGTGCAATGTACAGAGAGTTGGGTAAGATCCCTGTCCTCAAGGAACTTAGAGACTAGAATAAGATCAGTTCACAGGTAATTTTAAATACGAAGAAATGCACAGTACCTCAAACCAGGAAAGGCCTAGTTAAATGCTTGTTAGATGAAACTATGAGTTTCATCTAACAAGCATGAGAATGAAAGACATAGTCTGGAATTTCAGAGAACACAGAGGTTACCACCAGTTGTGAATGGGAGTGGGGCTTGTATAGATAAATCAGACCATAACCAATTATAGGTTGGAAAGATTACATGTTTGCAAGGGCCTAAGGAATTCCTTCTGCTCAGGAGAGCTTTGATTTAGTAACTGGAATGTGGAGAGTAAGATTGGTTCTTGCTTGTGCCAAAAGATGAATGACAGTTAATGCTTACTGCCCTCGTTTCTGTCTTTTCCATGGGTTAATGCCTGCCACCTACTCATTGAAAAAACTTTTGGAAATGTTATTTAACCAGTGCCCATAAAAGAAAGAAGTAAACAAAAGGACAAAAGTGTAAATGCATATTTTGTATTAATACTTAATAATCTTTATGCTTTAGATATTACTCTAATTACTGTCATATGGTCCCAAGGAGAGAAAGTTTCCTATAGAAAGGGTCTTGTACTATTCAGTGCCAAAGGGACTGAAAATTGCATACAGATTTTTCCACTCTAGACTGCTCCCCCAGTTCATTTCCATTGTGCACGGATTAGATCAGTTTATGGAGTATCTAGGGGCCTAAAGTAGTCTCAGATGGTATGTAAATAGCATACTATCAAAAATACCATACTTATAGGACAAGCACACAAGCATACTTATGAATACTAGCCATTGTTTTCCTAATTTGATAAGTGAAATCTGTAGCCCACTAGCCTATAAATCTCCAAGAGGCCAGGGCCACTTATACATTTTGTTTCCAACACACTTTTGCATGCTGTAATGCAATCTTAGATTATTTTAATAAGGCAGTACGATGGAGTGCTTAAGAGGGTTCATTGACTTTGGGTTCAAATACTGACTACAGCTTACTGACTATGGCAAATCAGTCAACTTCTCTAAGTTTATATGTCAAATGAGAATAATAGTTCCCCCTTCTTAGGGTTGTTCCAAGGATTAAAATAGACAATGCAAATAAAGTGCTTGACAGTTCTTGGCATATTAAAAGCACTCTATAGATTGCGGCAATTATTATATGAACATATTATACTAAATTGATTGTTACAAATTATTACCGGCATACCTCATTATATTGTACTTCACTTTATTGTATTTCCCAGATGCTGCATCTTTACCAACATTGAGGCAAGGCCCTACACCAGCAAAAAGATTGTGACTTGTTCTAGGCTCAGATAATGGTTAGCGATTTTTTTTTTTTTTAGCAGTAAAGTATCTTTTAATTAAGGTGTCCACATTGTTTTTTTAGACATAATGGTATTGCATACTTAATAGACTACAGAGTAGTAGATATAACTTATATACCCTTGGGAAACAACAACAACAAAAATCTTTGTGACTTGTTTTATTGCAATATTTGCTCGCTCTCTCTTTTTTTTTTTTTTTTAGAAGTTGTATCGTTTTTACATTGACTTTAGAGTGTTAAACTAAACTTGCATTGGTGGGAGAAGGCCTACTTGGTCTTGATGTATTATTCTTTTTATACACTATTATATTCAGTGGCTAAAATTTTGTTGAGAATTTAACAATTTAAAATCTAATTTAAAATCTTTGCATATGAAGGATGTTGTTTTGTAGTTTATTTTTCTTGTAATTTCTTTTCTAGTTTTAGTATCAGTAATTCTGGCCTCCTAACATGGAACTGCCTTTCTCTTCAATTTTCTGAGAGTTTGTGTAGAATTGGCATTTCTTAATTTCTAAACATGGGGGTTTTAAATTGTAGTTTAGTTATTGATTTCTGCCTTAATTACATAATTTCTAGTTTACTGATTTTTTTTGCTTGCTTATTCTTTCAGTTATGAAGAGTGATGTTAATATCTCCCAAATGATTATAGATTTGTCTATTTCTACTCTAATTTTATTATTTTTTTCTTTATAGTTACACCAGCTTTCTTTTGATTAGGGTTTGCCTAGTATATATTTTTCTCTCTTTTTACTTTCATCTTTTCTATTACCTTATGTTTTTAGATGTTTTGCTCATAAACAACCTATAGTTGGTTTTATTTTTATAGAATGTTTCTTTTACCTGAAATATTCAGATCATTTACATTTAAAGTAATTACATATATATTCGAGTTTAATTCTACCATCTTTATGCTTTATTTTTGTCTTGATTATTCTATTTCTTTTTCTCTCCTTTCTTGTCTTCTTTTGGATTGATTATTTTTCATTATTTAATTTTCAAGGACTATTTCAGATGTATGCCGGAGCTGGCTCACAATGGCTCAGGAGAGCCATTTCTTTCCAATTCCATGTTCATTAACCTCTTTTTGGTAGCTTGAAATTGGCCAGGGTGGGCGCATTTACACGATAGAAAGAGTTTTTGTCCTGTGAAGAGCTGATGGTTAAACATTTACCAGCACACCAATTATCATTACTTTCTCTTCCTGGATAATACAAAGGTCTTCCTCCACAGTTATATGCTATTCTTGTCATACATTTTAATTCTGTACTAAATATCATGTATTTGCCATTTTTCTTAAGTTTCTGTGGGATAGTTTTTATTACCAACATATTGTTAAGATTGGTTCTTATATATGTTCTTGTCCATAGGTTAATACAAAGGTCTTCCTCCACAGTTATATGTTCTTGGTTATTAGTGTTGTGTCTAACATTTTATTTTTTAAATTGTGTAGGCATAATTTTAGACCTAAAATGATGGTATCTTTGCTCAGACAAGATTTTTGTTTTTATTTTGCCAGGTGCCTGAATATGTCAGCAGTCTGGGGTCACCTTAACCTAATTTTAAGATTTTTGAGATTTTTCTGGGCCATCCAGATAACTCAAAGCTGGGCTCCAGTCCTTGGAAAGAATGTTCATCTTTTGATTCACCCCTACGCCTAGTGTCCTAACCCAAAGCACAGGCATGATGGTTAATTTTATTTGTCACTTGATTGAGCCACAGGATGCCCAGATATTTGGTCAAACATTATTCTGGGTGTTTCTGTGAGGGAATTTTTGGATGAGACTGATGTTTTAATCAGTAGGTTGAATAAAGCAATTGCTCTCCATAGTGTGGATGGCCCTCATTCAATCAGTTGAAGACCTGAATAGAACAGAAGGCTGACGTCCCCCAAGTAAAAGAGAATTCCTCCTGCCTGACAGCCTTTGAACACTGGCTCTTTCTGGTTCTACAGCAGCTTCTGGCCTTCAGACTTGAACTGGGACATCAGGTCTGCAGATTTTTTACTTGCCAGCCTTCATAATCATGTGAGTCAATTCTTTACAATTAATCTCTTTATATCTATATGTACAGCTATCTGTATATCTATATCTGTATCTCTGTATCTCTGTTTCTATATGTCTATATATATCTGTTTACATTTATATATCTATATCTATCTAATTTCCTCTTGGTTCTGTTTCTCTGAATAATCCTAATTTGTACAACAGACATTTACCAGGACCCTCGTCCTTGGAGGACCCTGGACTCCAACTTTTGTCTCTGTAGTCTCTGTATGTAGGCTGTTAAAAGTACTCCTCAGGCTCTCAATCACCTGTTCTGGAATCAGCAAATATCCCTTGGGGGTAAAGCAGTCCTAAAAAGCTGGGTTTACTTTCTGATGTTCTCTTTTTTCTTGGATATTGGCCTGGTATTTACTACCTTATTAGCTCTCTCTTATCTTTGAATAGATATGTTTTGTGCATTTTGTCTACTTTTCTAGTTATTATTAGTGGGAGAGTTGTCTGTCACCCTTGTCCTCTATTACCAGAATCATTGGTAAGTAACCATTTAAAAAATTTACTGTGTTTATCTATTTTATTTTGCTAAATCTTATTGCATCAATTATGTATCTCTAACACATTATTACAGTGTTTATTTGCTTTGTAGTACATGTTTGTTGCGGGTTAAAGGGAATATTTAATTTTCATATAATATAGTCAAATCTCGTGTACTGTGCACAGATGTAATCATTATGGAGTTCATTAAGTGTTAAATAACTAGGTAATTAGTGTTTAAAATGTTCATATCATACAGAAGTATCTGGAAAATTGTTTTATAGGTGTTTAAGAGGATTTTAGTGATATTTAGAGACATTGGAGTTTTTCGACAGGTGGTGAATGCATTCTTATTTTCTCATTTAAAACAACATAATATAGGCTCCTTGAGTCTTAGAATTGTCTTCAGAAATGGATTACCCTGGATGATTCTAGTTCTAATTGTAGCATATACCATTTGGCATACCTTTGATTTGGTGTGCTTATACACACACACACACACACACACACACACACCCTCATTTACATGTATATGTATCTTTGAAGAGCACGGATCTTCTCTTACATAACCATAACACAATGATCAAATTTAGGACATTTAGCATTAATTTAATATTATTATTAACTATAATAATAATTATAAAACTTAATTATATAACACATAATTATAAGTTCATTATAAGTTCATATTAAAATTTCACTGGTTGTTCTAATAATGTCCTGTTTAGCTGTTTTTTTCTTCATCCCAGAGCCAATCCAAGACCATTTGTTGCATTTAGTTGTCATGCTGCTTTAGTCTAATCTGAAACAGTTCCTCAGTCTTTTCTTTTCTTTGACTTTCACAAATTGACAGTCTTAAAGAGCTCACACCAATTATTTTATAGGATATTCTTCAATTAAGGTGGACACAACCTTAACTGAGTGATTAACGTTAACATCACAAATAGTGGCACAAATCGACATTATACAGTGGGTCCAAAACGCATAACTTGAATCGAATCATGATGAATCTCCCTTGCCCTCTGAATAAAGTCCATGCTCCATAACAAGTCATTAAGGTCTCTCTTGCTCTGTCACCTTTGTCTCTCACCATGTGTAACGCAAGAGCTCCAGGCCAGGACCTGCAGCTGGGATATTCCAGAAAAACCACCAGGGAGGACCAGAAGGGTGTGACATGTCATTTATTACTCATGGGACAGGGAAGCTTTAGTAGCGGCTGGTCAGAGCTGCAGGAAAAGGCACTCGGCCAAAGGCAAGCAATGTTTTCATCTACACAAGCAGGGGGAGGGATAATCTCACTGGGAGAACAGCCGCTTTCACAGGGGAATGGGAGCAAGATGTGCTTGCTGCTTGGTTACAGGAGCAGATAACGTCTAAGGGAGCAGCAGAAAACATCCTTGGGAGCAGGCACTTCTGAAAGCTTTTCATAAACTGCCTTCCCTGGCTGCTGGCCGGGCAGCCAACAGTCTTCTGTGTATGTGGAGGGGCTATATTCTGAATTAACCTCACACCATGTCTTCTTTGTGTACTCTGGCTATCCACATACTGCTTTTCCCACCTTGATTTCCTCACTTTTGTTCAAGTGGCTCTTGGGGAAGCTGGGCCCTTCCCTAGTCCAGGGAATGGACCACAATTGGTCCATGTCTTATGTGGCAACCCTGTTACCACTTGCTGCTAATTGGTTTACAGATGGGTTTGTGGTCTCCTAGGAAGTTTCTAGGAAAAAATATGCTCGCTGATGAAAAGGATTGCGAGGACGTCTTTATCTTCTTTTCTGTCTTGAATGTGGTTGTGGGAAGATATGATGGTTGAAAGTGTGGCAACTGTTTTGACAGACCTGAGGGTAAAGCATTGTGGAAAGGTGGAGACCTGGGTACCTCACATTGTACTAATTCTGAAACCATCTGTAACTGCAGGGGTTGGTGTGTAAAATCATTAAATGTCTCTGTTGCTTGTGCCACTGTTGGCTCATGTGTTGCTTCTTGCCACTAAGCACACTCTTAGTTGGTCCTTCCTACCCCCACCTTCCATTCTGGCATGTTCCCCCTTACTTTTTGTCTAACTCCTACTCATCTTTAGGCTTCAGCAAGACATGATTTCCTCTGTAACACCTTCCTTTATCTTCTAAGACAGGACCAAGTGCCTCTCCTTTAGCATCCTGTACCTACCCCCATAGTAGCCTTCCTAATCCCTAAACCTAAGTCTCATAATACAGTTTTCCCCTTGGTCTAGATGTCTGGTTACTATTTGGTGCCTATATGTAAAAGTTGGTTTTTTAAATGTCTGCAGAGAAAAGTTTTATGGGGTCACTGCTCCAAAGCCACAGGAAACATTTTTTCATTAGCCTAAGCCAAGGTTCAGGAAGTAGAGGAAAGAACAGTCCCTTATAATAGCCAGCAGGTTCTCTTCTAGTCTTGTGATTCTACCACAATTTGGGGTTGGCCTTTTCACAACAGATCTCCAGTCCCAATTCCTAATAGCTCGTGGGTGGAAAGGTTAGGGGTCTTTGTGAGGATATGAGGATATTTGGAAACACTTAAAGGTTTGCTCCATGGGGAAGACCGGGAACCTATTGGCTTCCCTACAAGGACCAGGATTGGTTCATATGTGAAAGGAGGAGGAAGATAATTGGTGTTTTAAAATGTACCTGGGGTTTGTTTTGATCAGGTATGGTAAGACACACAGACATGGAAATGATTGTCATGAAGGAAGAAGTTTATATACTCAAAAGATGTTATCTCTAGAAGCAGGAGGCATAACATGACATGCCACTCAGGGCCACAGGGGGCAGTACAGGGTTGGTCAGGAGACAGAAGGAGTTGAGGGGAAAGCATAGGCATGAACCTTTATTGTGATTTCCATTGTAAGGAGTAGAGAAGGCAGGGTAATCAGGTTTAGGATTGGCTAGTTTGAATAACTGTCATGGGGTATAGGGACTGTCCCTAGTTGTCTGTCCGGTACCTGGCTTTAGGTGAATAGGGCAGGGTTATATTGCCTCCTAGAGCTAGATGGGATCCAGATTAGTTACTCTGTGTATGAAAGCTGTTTGCTATCTCTAAGAATTGGCTATCCCTGGGAGAAGCAGTGTTCCTGCAGTCAGGGAGGTTCCAGATGCCAGAGCACCAAGAATACAGAAAATAAGAAAATATCACTGATTATATATATATACAGTCAGTGATACAAAATTTAGCAGCCTTGAAAGCTAGCCCAAAACATTTAGCAAAACCATTTAAATTGTCTTTGCTCCATTTACTTTGTAGAACATGATACCAGAACATAATTTCAATGATCATAGATATCAACTAATGTTATTATTTTGCAAAGCTATAGATTATATCATTTTAGACCTTCAGGCTATTCTGAAATTACATGTCCTTAGGCAAAAACAGCATGTGTGACTAAATGAGGATTTGTAGCTCTGCCATTAACTGAATGGTCTTGGGCAAGTCAGTGAGCTGTCTACAAACCTCCCACCCCAACCCCATTACCGCAAACTGAGGAGTTGCTCTGGAATTCTGAGTTTGGGGAGACTACAGGATGGACTGTCCTCCAAGAAACAATGATGAAGTCTTAAACCTCATGGAATGCCCCTTGCATTTCTCTAGCAAGAGATCAAGTGTTGAAGTCCTTACAGAATGCTAGAAGAAACTTGGCAAGAGTCCAGGTGTCATGCATAATAGTCTCTGTGCCAAGTTATCTTGTTTAAAGATGCCTATGAGGCAGATGTTGTTATTATTCTTCTTTTAATAGTTAAGTTAAATTGCTCAAGATCATATTGCTGGGAAAGTGGTATATGTGTCTGACTTTAAAGAGTAAGAATTAGACTTATTTTACGTAGTTATAAAGGTGAATACTAGATCAAAATAAGGGCAAAATATAGGGAGACATATTCTGGTTCAATATTAGGTGAGACTTTTGAACCAGATTTGTCAGTCAAAACTGCCATGGGCTGCCTTTTTTTATTGGAAGGGTTCAGGTTCAAGTTGGATTACCATTTTTTCAGGGATGTTGTGGAGGGGAATCTCAAATTGGCTGAGAGTGGGAGTAGACACCCTCTGAATGTCCCTTTGAGCCCTGAAATTCTAATATAAATCTAAGATTCTGGGATTTGGCATCTCCCAGGAAATTCACACAGCAGTTGGAGACCCTACCACTAGAGGGCAGTGTCTTCACATTTGGTCCGTTTGCACAGAAGGAACCAAACTTCGTTCTCTCTGGAGCTGCCTAGAGAGAGCCAAGTTTAAAACCATCACAGGGTAATATGGGCCCTTGTGAAAATGGAGAAGGAGCCACCAACAGAGTATTACTGTCCCTTCCACTATCAGCCTAAACAATGGTTTCTGTCTGCCAATAGACTGGAGAGTGGTCAGGGTGCTCATAGTCAAACAGAAGACACCATTTCCAGAGAGCTGAGGAAAAGTGTGTTCTGAGGGCTGTGAACTGGCAAGGAGCCCTCACAGTGCTGCTCCCTCCGCCCCTGCACTCCAAAGACTAGGAAAATGAGGAGGGGAACAGGGTCGAGGAGTGTTAGGAGGTGACAGTGGAAACCCTGCCACACTTGTAAAAGTTGAATGACTCAGGAATATTTAGCCTGGAGAAGAGAAAACTGTCTTCCATTAAGGTGGTTCTGCAGGGTCCCGGGTGTCAAAACCAGGGTTAGCAAATGGGTACCACCAGGGGGCAAGTCTCAGCTTGATTTAAGGAAGAACTTTTGGCAATGTCAGGAAGGATGACCTTGGGAGGCAACTCATTCTCCATCATTCATTTACTCCACACATACTAACCCTCTGCCTACTTCAGGCCTGTCACCTTCTAGTTGCCGAGGATACAGCAGTGAGTAAAATATACAAAACTGCCCGTCCTCATGGAGCTGACCTCCTGTGTTGGAACGTTCTGGGAGATGCTGAGGGGGATTACTCAGAGGCCTCATGGGTCGGTTGTTAGCCTGGATGGATCTTAACATCCCTTCAGGGGATTTCATAACTTCTTGAGCTTTATGAAACCTAGATTGTCTTTATAGCACTGGTATACTCTTTCAAAATTTGCAAAGAACTTTGCCAAGACTGCATAGTTTTCATGGTTTCCAATAAAAAGCCTGTGAATTAGGATATAGGGACATAGTAGCACTCTGGTGTATTGTAAAAATTGCCTTTGAATTTGGAATTCTTAGAAAAATAAAATTCTTCACTTAAAAATAATCTCCAGTCAGTGTATTTTTCATTTTTTTTTTAATTTAAGCTGCATAGGGACAAGGCATTAAAATGTCCACATGAGAAATAATTTCTAGAGCACAACCAGGTCACACAGACATTACATATTCCGTCCTTGACATGAACATGTAGGATCTCAACTAAAACAGACCCACTGCTACTGTTATCCAAGTGCTTACACAGCTTGATACAGTCTCAGGGAAGCCATGCTAATTTTAATTCCTCTAATGGTTGGATATTTACATTCCCAAACCCATTACCCCCACAGCTATCTTTATTCTTTAGCACCTGTCTCTTTCTGGCTTGCACTTTTCTTTGCATAGTAAACATTCTCAGGATGGATCCAGTTTTCCATTTTCACATATTTTTCTTCTCAGTGGTATGCTGTTGAGATCTGTGTCATCCTACAAGGTAAGAGAGAGAGGATGAGAAAATCCTTGTGGGCCAGATCTGGGAGTTCTGTTACCTCTGCTCTCTTCTTGCTAGAGAGATAGCACTTGGAGATGCTTGGGCTGCTTCTACACAGGCTTCCTTCCTTGTAAGGACACTATTGGGTCATACCTGGATCATTCTGTGTGAGGTTGTGAGGATTTAAAGAAACTTTCTTTAGGTTTGGCTTGCCCAAGTAGGCCTGAATTCTACTCAGGCTATTGAGAGGGTGCGATCCCCTGGGATGCAGTGCCAAGAGTCTTGTTTTGCCGTTGTGATATATCTTCTCAAGAAAGAAAAGCTGCTGCTCATCACATCCCACAAATGGATTTTTTAAATTAGCAAGATTTCCTTATAGAGATTATGGAATACTTATACCCAACAGGGCTCTTCACAGCCTCACCCATGCCTATCCTGCTAGCTTCATCTTCCACCCTGTCCATCACTCTCTCCCTATCCTGAGCCCCTCTCCTCCTGTCACGCTGCACTCTTGTGTGAATCCCACCTCCGCACTTTTGCATGTGTTGGGCCTTCTATCTGGAATTCCCTTTTTCCCTTCTCTACCTGGTGAGGGATCAGTTTTATTTATTCTTTTTACTTTCCATTATTTTAATTACTATCAGAAACTAATACTTTTATAAAATATACTGATCATGTCAATTGCTAGAAACATTTCAAAAAACTACCTCTCAATTTCTATACTTCTGTTATCTTGGGCAGGTAAAAAAAATCAGTGCCACTGATTGAGTGGCACTGCTCTGGACTCTTGTATAAGGTCACATCCTCTGTGGAGCTACTCCACCCATCCACCTTAGGTTGAGCCAGTTGCTCCTTCCCTGTGATTCCCTCCCATGAGATCCAAACACTGTATCATAGAACATTTGCTCATAGCCTTGTGGTGATTGATGTGTGCATCTACCTCTCCACTGGATTCTGAACTCCCCAAGGAAGGATGTTTCTTCTTATTCATTTCTGTATCCCAGAATACAGGTCTAGCCCATATTCAGAGCTTCATTGATATTTGTAAGACTGAATATAATGCCGTTTTGGAAAACTAAACTCTGTGGGTTCTTGACTCAGTGCTGACCTGTGTACTAGTTTGCTCAGGACATCTCATGGCTACTGCTGGTATATCTGGCTCTGTGACCAACAAGGGGAAATGAGATAAGAGAGTGAGGATGGATCAAGACATGGAGAACAGACCCAGGGGCCCCAGCCCTTGTAACCTCTGTCCTTGGCAGGACTGCAGCCCAGTGGTGTGGAGAGAGAGCAATTGAACCAGGCCAGCAGACCTCAGGAATAAACAGTCACCAAACCAGGGCAGGGGATTTGCTTTACAAGGTATCTAATCCTAGAGGCTAAGACTCAGCCGGTAGAAGGAGCTGAAACACCCGCTGAGTCTGGGTAGTACAGGAAGCTTCATGGGTAACCTCTGACAAGGTGAGAGCATAACAGAAGGGACTCTTCAGGTTTTTGCTCTGAAAAGAGATGGTTACACATTAATCATAGGACTCATCCAGAGGCAAGCCTCTAGTTTCCTTAACTTCCTGAGCTAACCATTATTTAAGAGTTAGAGATTTAAGACAAAGATTCTGTGTCCTATTTTTTGTTTCTTCCCTAAGGAAATGGTAAGAAAAGGCTCAGCTTGAATTCAGATGTTAACAGGATTATCACTTTTGGCTAAAACTTCAATTGAACCAGTCCTGAGAGATAGCTATAAATGAGTAGGGAACCTTATTCTCATTGAGGGTTGATTCAATCAGATGTTTGAATATGAGGCCAGAAAAAAATTCCCAGAATCCATAGAAGTTGAACATTGGCACATTAGTGCCAAGGTTTCAGCCTCCTGCCCCTCCCAGCCTAACCAAGTCCTTGATCTTGAGTTGTTCTGATTAATCCTAAATGGAGACCAACTTTTTCAATCTTCATAGTAACTAAGACATAGCATGGTGTTTGGATAACCATAGGCAAGTCACTGAATTTCTCTGAGCTTATTTTTCTCACTTGACAGGGAGATTTATACCTACCTCATAGGATAAATAAATAGAGAAAAACATACCATGTGCCTGGCTCTTGTCAAAGTAGGAGAAACCTCTGTTCCCTGGCTCCATGATTCTATCATGATTTCTGCTATAGCATTGATTCTCAAACTTGATCATACATCTGAATTACCTGGAGGGCTGATTGGACCACAGATGCTGGGCCCACCCAGAGCTTCTAATTCAGTAGGTCCGGAGTGAAGCCTAAGAATTTGTATTTCTAACTTCTCAGGTGATGCTGATTTTGCTGTTGGTCCAAAGGATCACGTTTCAAGGACCACTGCTATAGATTAATGTTCTTTGCCTCTCTTCTCACCTTTCCCTTGGTCCTCTCATAGGAAGAGGAATAATTTGTACTATGTTTGGAAGAAGGAACCAGGAAGGCAGGGATAAAGCCCATCTACCTGCAGAGTTGATAAGTTCTGGTCATTCCTCCCCTTCAAATAGGGGCTCCTCCCCAGAAAGCAGGGCTGTGGTTGTTCAGGTATCTTTAATTCTGGGGTGAAGTACAAGGGTGCCCATAATGGATACCCATTGAATTCTCAACCTAGAATCATAGAATAATAAAACTATCATTTCGATTTTTATATATTTGTCTCCTGTGTTCTTTTTAATTGATTCCGAATTAAGGAAAACAAGAAAGAACTATTTTAAATTGTCTCTTTAAAATCCCATCTTCCCTCAGTGCTCAAGAAATGGTAGCTGTGATTATTATTTCCTTAATATTAGACATCTAAATTCAACTGGTATTGATGAAATCCTTAGGAATAATGATATTGTGTGGGATGTGGAAGATGAATACACACTGCCTATAAGCTTGCAAATGTCCCTTTGGTTCTTCAGTGAAAACAAGCATGTACTTAGCACCTATCTGTCAGGCCTAGTGTCAAGTGGCGTTAGATATGGAACTTGCCTTTGACAAGCTTCCATTCAGATGGAGAAGCATCATGACCGCCAATACCTGATATAGGTGGACAGCACCACACCTGAGAGCTTTGAGAATCTAGAGAGAGTATTGCAACTGAAGGGATGTGGGAAGCTTTGGGTTCCCATTGTATGAGATCAGGGCATGGTGTAGAAGCATAGAAGTCAGAAGGAGCAAAGCAGGAACAGGGAAGGTGAACTTGGAGCATGGCAATAAAGAGGAATCCACATGTACCAGAATCTACACCACACCTACCTGGGCTGGGACACAGAGAACCTCACTCCTCAGAAAGAGTTTTGGAGGAGCCTGTCTTGGACACTTGAATGATCTCCACAGAGGTGATGCCTTTGCCAGCCACACGGTGTCTGGTGCGCAGCTTGTTCAGGGCAGTTTCTGCCATGCCGGCCCGCTCCTCAGCATCATCCAGCTCATGGACTGTCTTCCTGTAGCGAGCCAAGGTCTGGTTGGCTTGCTCCTCCTGCAATAAAGGCACAGTGGAGAGTGGAGTGTGAACCTGGCTTGGTCTGGTTAATTGTGCTTTGTTATCAGTTCTGCATGGACACCTAAGAGTGCAATTGTCTTATAAGGCTTGTTAAAAAATACAGCAGTCCTGGGTCGAGGCATTCTCCAACTCACCACAGACAACTACCTCAACACTTTTAGCTGATTGTTTTTGGCCTTCACATCTTTATTTCTAAATAAAATGTGTTTTATTATTGCTTCTATAATTTGTGGCTTTAGGCATTAGTTATTGGTGACCCTCTATGGAAGATGTGGATTTAGCGCTTCCCTTAACCGCCACCACACATTTTCCATCCCCTCGTCTTCCTAGAAGAGTTGCAGTGTTGTTTGTTTAGACCATATTTACTGTATGCTTGTCGAGCCTTTTAGGAAGGGCATTGGGTGCATGGATGGCTGATGGATTCAATGTAGTGGCCCCAGAACTGCCAGCAAATGATAGCAGAGTCAAATATCTATGTCCTGGGTGGTGGTGGTGGTAGGTGGATGTATCGTGTAGTGTTGAGTCTTGATCCCACCATTTGCTAACCATTCGACTTTGACTTTAACATTTACTAACATAACATAGATGCCCCACTCTGGACTGTTTCCTCACCTGTGTAATGGACTAAGAATATCAGCTTTCCTGCCTTGTGTTGGGAGGATAAAACAAGGGTGGGTCCTTGTATTTGACAGTATGACTAGGAGGGAGAGTTTATCCTGGCAGAGGCCACTGGGGCAGTGGAAGCAGGATAGAGGCAGCTAAGACCTTCCCCAGTTTTAGAGCACACCCTGCAGTGGATGCTTTAGTTAGCAGGGGTGTTCTTAGAGCATACTTTTGTTTTTCATACATTCTATCGACAGTGTGTAGTATCCAGTCCACTTTCTACAGATAGCAAGGATGAAGTGCCATGGACACGAGGCTCATGGGAGTTGTCTTTTGGCCAATACTTGATTCCTTCCCTGTAGTTAATTCTAACCAAGACTTGAGACCTGCGTTGGGAAAGGTGGGAGAATTAGGGATGCATGGCGAGTACCTACCGCCTCTTCGATTTGCCGCTTATAGACCTTCATCTTGTTCTGCAGCTTCTCTACCAGTTCCTGCATGCGCTGGTTGGTCTTGTGGTCCTCCTCTGTCTGGAAGAACAGCTCTTTGAGGCGGCGCTCATTCTTCCGCAGCGTCTTGACCGTCTCCACGTGCCGTTTCTGCTCGCCGTCCAGCTCTGTCTCTAGTTCCTTGATCTGAGGAAGGAAGAGAGGAATACAACTGAGAGAATGTATGTTTTTGAACTTCAGAACTCAGTGGCCTTGGGTATGGGTGTAATGGCTACAGTGTCCACCTCCTACCCAAAGGTGAGCAGGTGAGCCCTGGACAGGAGGGTCAGGCAGGCTCTGCTTTTCACAGGCCCTGCTGTGGTTGTCAGGTGGTCACTTTCCCTGAGACTCAAGTTTCTTCCTCTGGGAAATGGGGGAGGCAGAGGTCAGATAAGGTGACCGAAATTGGGCCCTTCCAGCTCTGACATTCCATGAGATAAAGACTAAGGCTTGTTTTAAATCAGTAATAAGAAAGGAATAATGTTGGAAACCAAGACTAGGAACAAAGACAAAGGAAGAATATTGGCAACTGCTCTGCTTGGGGGCTGAGGACATTTCGGGGGAAAGATGACAGGGAGAGGAGGAGGAGAGGAGGACTTTGTATAAATAAATTAGAGCTGTAGTCTAATTTTCTTTCCTGGCACTGGAATAACCCAATTCCCTATCAAATGCTGGGCATGTTTTTTGGGAAAAAACTCTCCCACTCCCTCCCCTGGCCTTGCCATAGCTTTGCTTTCTCTCCTGTCTCAGCTCGATGTTGCCCTCACCCTGGTTTCCAGCTTCATGATCATGCGCTTCCCTCCCTTCAGAGCCAGCTGCTCGGCCTCCTCCATCTTGGCCTGCAAGTCTTTGATGGTGATCTCGTAGTTCTTCTTGATCTTCTCCAGGTGCATGCAGTGGTCCTGCTCTTGCCGGAGTTCTTCCGCCATGCGGGCAGCCTGCGGGAGGCGAAGAGAACATGAGCTAGAGCTGGGTCCCCATCCAGGCTCAGAGTGCATTTGAGAGATGAGGGATGGTGTCTCCAAGTCTCTGAGAAACCAAATGGTTGATGCAAGGAACTAGCTGACAGGAGCTGGGGTTTTATGGAAGGAGCTTCACGCTCCCATGTCCCTCAAATGAAAGGGGAGGAGGCAGGCTCCTGTGCTTACTACCAGTCCTCCCAGTCCTGTGGACTCTGCCAGGCTGGTGATCTCTAGCCAAACTCTTTGCTATTCCCTCCAAGAGGGGCACAGCACCGAGGGTGGGAAAAGCATAGATCTGGAGTAGGAAGATGGTCTGCTTCCTATGTAACCTTCGGCAAGTCATTCTACCCACTCATTCTTATATTCATTCCACAGATATTCATGGAGGGCCTACTGTGTGCTGATTATAGGTCTATGCACCAAATAAGGACACAGCACCAAATAAGACCAACAATGTTCCTGAGCTCCTGGCATTTCAATCAAGTGTGGGGAGCCTGACAAGAAAATATGCATTTCCTTAGCCCTAAAGTGGGATACATAGTATCCACCACTAAGGTCGGTCAGTGTGAGCACCCAAAGGAATACTGGGGTGAAAACACTTGGTGGCACATCTTGGCAACATCCACCCCTGAGCCCTTGGGCACAGCATCCGTCTTCCTTTCAGGAACCCTCTCCTCAAGGCTGGTTTGATACTCCTCCTTGCCAAAAAGTCTGCTCAGATGAACCCAAGTCGATGGCACCTTTGCTATATGTTTCCAGGCCACATGCTCTAAATCTCTCACACGATCGTCTGTAGCTTGTCGGTATTCCTTACTTTCATGTGTTTGGCTTTTCAGAAAAGTCTCTGGACTCCTTAGAGCGGGACCACATCTCCACTGGTAGGGTCTCATGACTCCATAGTGACTCATGAGGGGAGAGAATGGCCTTTCCTGCCTATGGTAGCCTGGTCCTCACAGGCAGCCTGGGCTAGGGTGCCCAGGCCTCCTCCCACCAGCAGCAGGCAGTGCACACACTTACATCAGTCATGGCTTTCTTGGCCCTTTCATCAGCTGAGCGGAACTCACTGATGAGCTCCTCGTGCTCGTTGGAGATGCGCTGGACATCTGACTCCAGTTTGCGTTTGACCACCAGGAGGCTTTGGTTCTGGAGGAGGAAATGACATCACTGTGAGCCGGGAGTCTGCACAGCCCTTCTGTGTCCAGGAAAGAAAACGATCCTCTCCCAGACATGCCTGCCCAACTCCCAACAGGAAATGGCCCTAGCCCCTTGCTCAGGGTGAGGGTTTCACCCCTATATTCTCTGGGTTTTAGAGTAGAACTTGCATCATGAGCAGCCCAGGAATAACATAATTTAGGCCTGGGGAGGATGATAGCTCTAGAACAATCCTGAACTCAGAGCTGGGAAAACCCAGGTCCAAAATTGGGTACTTTCACCTATGTGGATAAATTCCTTACCTCTTGGCTTTGGTCTCTTTATCTTTAAATGAGATTGTAATTCCTACACGTCCCATGCACATTTTTTCTTTTGGTGTATTCATTCACATGAGATGATGAGTAAGGGGGGATTAAGCCATGCTGGTAAAGGCCTGCACTGTGAGTAGTAAGCAGTACTAATGTTTCCACTAGTAGCAGACAGGGTGCCCCAATGCTGACCATGGACAATCCACTCAACTCTCTGGGCCACAGTTTTTCATTTGTAAAATAAATGTCAGACTTTGGAAAACTCTAGATCCCTTCCAGTTCTAAAGTTCTAGCCTAAGCTACAGGGGTCCTTAAAATTGGGCTAAATCATGAGAATCTTCTGAGGAGTCTCTAAAAGTTTAGATTTCTGGGATCCCACCATAGATCCACTGGATTAGAATCCTCAGGGAGAGTTTAGGAGTCTATCTTTAAAAGCGCCGCATGTAGTTAACACATTGCACTGAAAAATGGCTAAGATGGTACATTTTGTATTATGGGTTTTTTTTCCCCCACTACAAATAAAAGCTCTGCAGGTGATTTCTGAGAAATTGACAAGTGGGGGCACTAGCTGCCTCTGACTTTTGAGGGGATCCCACAAGGTTTGGGCATCATCCTGGGCTTACCCCTGTGCCCTGAGTGTGAGACCACATAGCGCCCCCCAGAGAGCCACCATCCTACCTGGATGTTGATCTCATTGTGCCGCTCTGTGATCTCCACCACCTCCTGCTCCAGCAACTTTCGGGAGCGCTCGCTGCCCTCCAGGGCCGAGCGTACCTCCTCCAGCTCTGTCTGCAGCAAACTCAGGCGCCGCTCCTGCAGATTGTACTGCTCCCGCAGCTCCTCGTGCTGCCTGGCGTCCTCATCCATTTGGACCTGCAGGTCCTAAGGTGCAAGAGGACAAGGCCTGAGGCCATCTCACGGGCCCTGGCGCAGCCTAGGACTGGCCAGGCCTGTGGGTGCTGTGACCTTCGCAGACTGGGCTCAGAAGGGAGATGGGGTGGGATTGGAGAGGTGGAGGCCACAGAGGAAGAGAGCGCGAGGTGTAGACCTGCCCTCAGGGAGTTCACAGTCTGGTTGAGGCCTAGTTGGGCCAGGGCCCAGGTGTCCAGAGGATTTGTCTGGTGGATAGTCAGCATGATGCCAAAGCTTTCCAATGACGGAGCACCTGATATTACAGTAGGGGCTTCTCAAAGAAGCCTTCCTCAATGGCCTTTGATGATTACATCCTCAGTGGCTAATTCCCATCTCCCTTTCTCTAGCTTGTCATTTCTCCGTAGTACTGATCACCATTTTAAATACCACAGTTTTATTTATTTGTTGCTTATTTTCTATCTGCAAGAATGTTTATTATTTTGTCTATTCTCATACCCCTAGTACCTAATACAGTGCCTGGGCAGAGCAGGTCTCCAATAAACACATGTAGAATTCATGAATCCATCTATGCATGCTATAAAGACCAGCCCAATGATGAAGAATAATAAAGGAGGACTTCGATTATATTTGTGTTTATTTCTTAAGGTGAGTGAGTGTTGGGTACATGGGTCTTTATATTCTTTATTTTTCTATGTCTGAAATAATTTATAATAAGTCAAAAATGATTTTAAAAATCAAGACAGGCCCAACTTCCTGTTTCCCTCCTTTTTTTCCTTATTCTTGCGTCCAGGATATGGACTTTGGTGGTTGAGGCCTCTCATTTATACAGTCTCCAAGTCTCCTGCTCCCTGGACTGCTAGCCACCCCATGTTCTCACTCTCATGCCTTTATCCTGGCTGAAAACATGCATGAAGTTAGCCCTCTGTGAGCTTGCAGGCTCAGGGTTGGCTTGCTTTGTGATTAGTTCTATCTCCTTCCAGATTGCTACCTTGATTTGCTGCTGCAGCCTTTTCAGTGTCTTTACAAGTTCACTGTTGTTCTTGTTGGCATGGTCCAGCTGGATTTCCATCTCATTCAGGTCAGTCTCCATTTTCTTCTTGAGCCGAAGTGCCTCTGCCCGGCCTTTGGCCTCTGCTTCCAGACTGGCCTGCAAAGACTCAATTGCCCGCTGGTGGTTCTTCCTGCAAGTCCAAGCAGAGAAGGCCTTGGCATACTGGACCCACTGACCTGTGCTAAACATCCCTAGATAAGAGGTCTCTGGACATCAACGTGAATGTGGCCACCATGTTGTGAAATTAAACTATTTTCCCTTAAAGCATTTAAGTGAGGGAGCATCATGCTTTGGGAAAAGAAATAGGTTAATGTTTACCACCTCGATTTTTTTTAACATACACAACAGCCCTGCAAGGAAACTGAGCCTCCACAATGATGAAAAATAGGCCAAAGGTCATCCATTTAGCCCAAAATGAAGTCAGGATTCAAACCCAGATTCTGAGGTCCCTGTTTTTTGTTACAAAATGTGAGTTTTGGCTATGCAGTTTATATATATATATAGCTCTCTTCAAAACAGCAGTCATTAATTGATTGTATTTAATATATATTAATCATATTTAATCAACATAATAAACATTTCCATAAAGCCCTCATATAAGCTGTATTAACCTCCTTTTATAGTAGGGGACCAGAGGAGGTAATTTAGATGTTCAAAAAACATTTGTTTCATTGAGGAAAATAAATGATTAGCATGTAAAGATCCTGTCACCTGCCCCACACTGTGTTCACCTCTGCTTCACCTCTGAACACCCACTATGTGCAGGCACCTTGAGATGTATTCAATTTCCAGATATAGGCAAGGGTATTGTGACATTCTCAAAAGTGAACAAAATTGGGATTTGCTTTGACTTAAAAATAAATACAGGCAAAAACTATAAAACATGTTGAAAAAAATTTAAAAAGATCTAAATAAATAGAAAGGTATTTATATTCATTGAGCAGGAGACAATACTGTTGGGCTGAGATTCAATGCAATGCAGTCACAAAGGACCACGTACTGTATGATTCCATTTATATGAAATGTCCAGAGTAGGCAAGTCTAAAGAAACAAAGTAGATTAGTGGTTGCCTAGAGCTGGGAGTGGTGGTGGTGGTAGTGGTGGGGAGAAATGGACATGACTGCTACAGGATATGGGGTTCCTTTGGAATTGATGAAAAGATTCCAAAATTGTAGTGGTTACGCAACTAAAAACCATTGAATTTTTTCCTTAATATGGGTAAATTGTATGGTATATGAATTATATCTTAATAAAGCTGTTGCAAACACACA